AGCAGGTCGAGGCTGCGGTGGCCGGGAGTGGCCACTGCACTCCAGTCTAGGCGACAGAGTGAGACTCCAACTCAAAAAAAAAACAAAACAAAAAACCATGATGATTTCAGTGGACTGCTCTTTTGAGTTCTACCATATGGCTTTATAGAAAATAAATTTGCTTAATGCGATGCTATGCATGCAGGTGATAAAACATTTCAGCACAAAAGCTGTAGCAATAAAACATCATCCCTTCCTGCCTCAGTTGCCCCAGCCCCAACCCTGGAGGCAGATGCTGTCAATAAGTTTTGTTTATCTTTCCAGAATTTTTTTAAATGTCAACACGAATAGTGCCATACCCCACACATCACTATGACCTTGCTACTTTTCCATCCAGGTCATTCCTTGTCCAGGCCCCAGGGCTGCTCATGACATCGTCTCATTAGGTTCTGGACACACTGAGCGTTTGGGCACTCCAAGCCTTGTGCAGTCATGGTGCACTGACACCAGTTCCTTTCCCGGCTGGTGTAGGCTCGATCTCATAGGCTTGCCTAGGGCGGGCAGGCGAGGGCTTCAGGGAGGAGCTGGAGGTGGGCAGAGCAGACTAGGGCCATGCCCAACCCTCGGGCCTGTGAACCCCCAGAAGGGCCTGTGTGCAGCTTCCTAGCAATGAGCACCTCTCTTCCAGCTGCACTGTAACTGCCAACCAGTTGCTGGCTGGGAACTCCCACAGGCTTTCCAGCCTCTCCCGGGATCTGAATTTTGAGGAGCAAGTGGTGTTCAGAAAAGCTGCCTGTGTCTCATGGCCTAAGCGTAGAGCATTGCGCTGACTGACCGTGCTGACTTTTGGGGATTCTTGTCCGGGCAGCAGACAGCAGTGGGGTCGGAAAGGGCAACCTGCAGTCCACGTTGCTGGAGGGACACAGCTTGGACCCGCCAGACCTGGACCTCTCTACCATCAACGGTGAGTCGCATGTTGCTCACCCAGTCTCCAGCAGGCATGACGCTAGATCCCAACGGGTTTCCGAAGACGGCTGCTCCTCGACTTAGGATGGGGTCGCAGCCCGATAGCCCACTGTAAGTCCAAAATGTCAAAGGTCAGGGCCAGGTGCTGCAGCGGTAGCTTACGTCTGTAATCTTAGCACTTTGGGAGACCGAAGAGGGAGAATTGCTTGAGGCCAGGAGATCGAGGCTACAGTGAACTATGATTGTGCCACTGCACTCCAGCCTGGGCCACAGAGCCAGACCCTGTCTCTAAATATCCTGAGAAACCCACAGTAAAGTTGAACAATATTCGTGTTGACTCATCATAAGTCCATGTGCTTATAGTCCTCAGCTTATAATGCAGTCACATCCTAGTACACTGTCATAAGGGGGAAATGTTTTGCTCAAGAACTGTCTGTATGCACCTCTTACCATGAAAATGCTCTTTATTTTAGACAAAAGTATGGTCAGAAAGATGTCACAGTTAGAAAAAACAATGTCAAAGAAAACCAAGCAGGCATCGTCTTCTGCCCCCCAGAAGAGTCCGGTAGGTGTCTGAGCCAAGAGGGCAGTGCTGACGGGGGCACATCCCAGTCAGCTCCTGTTCTGTGGTGGGGCCACCCGAGGCCCAAGACTGCGTGAGCAAACAGGACAGCTGTGCCCTGGGACAAACGTCACGATCACACACGCTCTCAGGGCATTTGCAGAGTTCAGGTGTCCTCAGCCACATGCAGTTCTGGATGCCAACATGGGGTCATGTAGAAAGTAAACTTGGGGATGCCTCCGTGCTAGGAAGGTACGAGCCCATGCCCTGTCCTCTAGCAGGAGAACAGCTAGACTGTGGTGTCACTCAGTGAGACTGGGACCGACAGGCAGGGGGCTGATGGGTGGAGGTACCAACGGGCATGGGAACTGGTTAGCAAGGGCACCTCACAGGCAAGGGGACCGATGGGTGAGGGTAACCAAAGCATGAGGGGAAATGATGGGCAGGGGCAGAGGAACCACGGGGGAACCAGTGGGCTGGGGCCACCAAGGGGTACTGATGGTCGGGGTCACAGGGGGGTTGAAGAGCAGGGGGACCAATCATCAGGGGGTACCGATGGGTTGGGGGACAGAAAGGCGGGTGAACAACAGGTTTGGGGGACTACATGGTGTGGGGGACCAATGGGTGAGTGCCATCAGTGGACAAGAGGGACCGACAGGTGGGGTCACAGGGAGCACTCTAGTCCCGGTGCCGTGCTGTGTCGGTGGGTGCCCTCACCCGGCCCTTGGCTGCCCAGCTCCTCCCTCTTCCTCACCATAGGGTGCTGGAAAACACTAGACAACGAAAAGCCGGGAGCAGGTCTGGCACAGTGAGGAATGGCCATGTTGTCACACTGAACACAAGCCCCTGGGGTAGGCGCGTGCCGGGGAGCGCAGGACTTACAGCCGCTCGCCGGACACGAAGGTCTCACTGTCCCTCCAGGACCCGAGCAGAGCGATGGAGGAGATGGAGTCCCAGATGCTGCTGCTGATCTTGCTGACTGTGAAGGTGACCCGGCGCCTTGTGCGCGGACTGTGGGCACGGGGCTCCCTCGCCGTGGGATGCCCTGCCTGAGCTCTGTTTCGTGTCCCGCAGATGGAGAACAGCCTGGCCCAGTTTGAAGAGGAGGCGGAAAGGAGGTTGCTGGCTGTGTGCAGGGAGAGGGAGGCTCTGGAAAGGCGGGCCCACGCCCTGCGGTGCCAACTCCTGCTCAGCCAGAGGACACGTGAGCTGGCGCACATCCTCGTCACCCAGGTCGGTCATACGTGGCACCCATGCTGCGGGCTCAGCTGAGGGTTCCACTGTGGCTCGCCCCATGCCGGGCCTCTAATGCCATGTTCACTGGCAAGCGTTTGCGCAAATGGTTGCTCAGAGCATGGAGTCATGATGTAAAGCGGACGCCAGTCAGGGGCCGCGGGGAGACACACGAGGCCTACCCTGGAGGCGGTGTGCAGTCAGTGCTGGACAGAGGGGTCTAGGCGGGGGAGGGACATGGAGCAACCCTCATAGCCCAGAACTGCTGGGCAGGCCGGGCCCCCTCACCCAGCTGTGAGTTTCCTACCATGACACAGGACCACAGCCCAGTGGCCGAAACCATGGAAATTCATTCCCAAGGTCTGGAGGTATGAAGTCCGAGGTCAGGGTTTTGACAGGACTGGTCCTGTCCAAGGGCCTGGAGGGAGAGTCTCCCAGGCTTGGGCGCCGCTGTCTTCCCCCATGTCTTTTCACATGTCCTGTCCCCTGTGCGTGTGTGGGCTAAAGTTTCCGCTCAGGACACCAGTCGTGTTGAGTTGGGGCCTACCCGAATGACCTTACCTTAACTTAATGGTCCTGTAGAAACTCTGTTTTCGAGTAAGGACCCATTTCGAGGTGCTGGGAGTTGGGATGTCAGGTATGAATTTGAGAGGACACATTTCAAGTCATATCATCCAAATATTTGTGTAACCTGGGCTGGTACAGCTTCCTGACCTGTGGAGCTCCAGTGGAACAAAAAGAAAAGACAATTAAGTACAACATGGGTTTGAGCTGCCTGGGTCCACTTATACCCAGATCGTTTTCAATAAATATATGGAAGTTTTTTGGAGATTTGTGACAATTTTGAAAACCTCACAGATGAACCTCATAGCCTAGAAATACTGAAAATATTAAGGAAAAGTTAGGTATGTCATGCATGTATAAAATATGTGTCCCAGCCTAGGCAACATAGCAAGTCTCCATGTCTATAAAAATTTAGAAAAATTGGCCAGACGCAGTGGCTCAGCCTGTAATCCCAGCACATTGGGAGGCCAAGGCGAGAGGATTACCTGAGCCCGGGGGTTCAAGACCAGCCTGGGCAACTTGGTGAGACCTCATCTCTACAATAAATCACAAAAAATTAGCCAAGTGTGATGGCATGCACCTGTTGTTCTAGCTACTTGGGAGGCTGAGGTGGAAGGATTGCTTGAGCCCAGCAAGTCGAGGCTGCGGAGGCCATGAGCAGCATGCCACTACACTCCAGACTGGGCAACAGAGTGAGACTCCAACTCAAAAAAAAAGTAGAAAAAAATTAGCCAGGCATGGTGGCTCACACCTGTAGTCCTAGTACTTTGGGAGGCCAAGGTGGGAGGACCACTTGAGGCCTAGAGTTTGAGACCAGACTGGACATCATAGCATGACCCCTTTTATACAAAAAAATTAAAAAATTAGCTGAGCATAGTGGTGCGCACCTGTAGTCCCAGTTACTTGGGAGGCTGAGGCAAGAGGATTGCTTGAGCCCAGAAAGTCGAGGCTGCTGTGAGCTATGATTACACACACCACTGTATTCCAGCCTGGGTGACAGAGTGAGACCCTGTCTCTAAAAACAAAAACATGTGGATGCCCATCTGTGTGTATCCACTGTTTATATGTCAATAGTAGGCTAGGAGGAGTTAAGTTTTGGGGAGTCAGTTATACATGGGTTTTTGATTGCACAAGGGGTTGACACCCTGATCCCAACATGTTCAAGGCTCAACTATGTCATTACAAACTCCATGAAGACCCAGATGGTGTGTTCAGGGTCAAGGTGGGCTATGCCAGAGATGGTCTTCTGGAAGGCGGGCATTTAAGCAGAGTATTCCAAAGCAGTGGCCCAGTCCTCTTGGGTGCCCTCTGCCCCCCGTCGAGGGCCAGGCCTGGAATGCACTGGAAGGTGGATGTGTTTGTGAAACTATTCAGGGAGGAGAGAGCCCACCACACCTTGGAAGCTTCCTGAGCTGATCCCAGGGGTCATGAGAGGAGTGCTGTGTCTTAACTGTACCTGACCGTTACACTCCCAGCCAGTCACCACAGGGTCCCCACAGCCCCTGCCTCCTACTTGCAGATTGAAATGCTCAGCCCCTCCGAGGCGGTGGCTGCACACTTCAAGGAACAGTACAAGACATTCGCCACGGCCCTGGACACCACCAGACACGAGCTGCCCATGAGGGCCATCCACCTGGAGGGAGATGGGCAGCAGCTCTTAGGTAAGAGCGGGCAACCCAGCTGCATGGTGCGGTGTGCAGGGCAAGGGGCACATCGCTGCTTCCTGTGTGTCTGATATCATGTGACATCAGTGGCAGAGGGCAGTGGGGGCCGGCCAGGGTCTCACCCTGAGTGAGTGACCGACCAGGCTGGGATTTGAACACAGGCCTGTGGGATTCCGGTGATCTCCCATCTTGCTAAAAGGCATTCTTCGGGGGTGACCTGCAGCCACCTAAGTTCTGGGCCCCATGGATGCGCCTCAATGGTTAGGGTCGACAAGGCCACCAACCTCACCCCGTCTTGCCCTCAGTAGAGCGGTGAGGTCCCCAACTGATCCCTCTCTGGAAGACCTTGGCAGGTGTGAAAACTGCAGGGCTAGCCGGGCTTGGTGGCTCAGCCTGTAATCCCAGCACTTTGGGAGGCTGAGGTGAGTGGATTGCCTGAGCCCGCGGGTTCGAGACCTGTCTGGACAACTTGGAGAGACTTCATCTCTACAATAAGTCAAAAATTAGCTGGGCGTGGTAGCGCACGCCTGTAGTTCCAGCTACTTGGAAGGCTGAGGCGGAAGGATCGCTGGAGCCCAGCGGGTCGAGACTGTGATGGCCGGGCGCGGCCACTGCACTCCAGTCTGGGTGACAGAGTGAGACTCCAACTCAAAAAAAAAAAAAAAAAAGAAAACTGCCGGGCTATGTCCTATCATCCCCTTCAGAGCAGGTAATCCCGCAGTGAGTTTAATTGTCCCTAAGGAAAACTCTCACGAGCTATCTAAACACGCATGCTTAAAGTTGTTGCAGGAACTCTGCTGCCTGAGTCCACAGGTGGCTGTCCCTGCCACCTCCCACCCACAACTCACCTGAAGCAGAATCGACGCAGTCACCCTCAGGGGGCTGTTGCTGGGCCCCAGACTCACACAGCAAAGTTGTTATTGTTGTTGTTGTTTTGAGTTGGAGTCTCACTGTCACCCAGGCTGGAGGGCAGGGGCACGCTCACAGCCACCACAGCCTCAACCTGCTGGGCTCAGGCGATCCTTCCTCCTCGGCCTTCCAAGTAGCTGGAACTGCAGGCATGTGCCACCACATCCAGCTGTTTGTCTGTTTGTAGGGACAAGGTCTCGCCAAATTATCCAGGCTGATTTTGAACTCCTGGGCTCAGGCTTTCTCTCGCCTCTGCCTCCCAAAGTGCTGGGGTCACAGGCATGAGCCACTGTGCCTGACAGAAAGGGTTTTTAATAAGATCAGCTCCATCCAGTGTGTGGTTGTTAGGTGTGACTTGGAATTCTGAAAAATGAGCCCTGTTATAAGCAAAAAGTCCAACATATGGGCAATCTGAAGGTTCTGAGAGAAGCACTGCTTGCCCATTGGCATTTTCTTTCTGTCTCTAATGCAGCATGTTCATATATATATATATATATATTTTTTTTTTTTTTTTTTTTTTTTTTTTGAGTTGGAGTCTCACTCAGTCGCCCAGACTGGAGTGCAGTGGCTGCTCCCGGCCACCGTAGCCTCGACCTGCTGGGCTCCGGTGATCCTTCCCCATCAGCCTTCCAAGTAGCCGGAATTACAGGCATGCGCTACCACACCCGGCTGATTTTTTGATTTATTGTAGAGATGAGGTCTCGCTGCCCAGGCGGGTCTCGAACCCGCGGGCTCAGGCAATCCACTCACCTCAGCCTCCCAAAGGCGCGGGATTACAGGCTGAGCCACCAAGCCCGGCTCATATATATATTTAAATAGGCTTGCTAGCAAGCCGTATGGATATGTGGTACATATATAATATATATACAAACACACCATGTTTGTGTGTGTGTACATATATCATGTTCATATATATGTACTATGTCAATATATACAGTGGATGCCAAAAAATGTATGCACATTTTAAGAAAGGAAAAAACTACGTTAAAATTATAATACTCAATACATATATATGTATATCATGTTTATATACGTATTATCATATATTTGTATACACACACACCAGGCTTATACACATATATGTGCATATGCTATGTTCATGTGAATGTACATGTATATATAAACGTATATATACACACATACCTTGTTTATATGCATTATACACACACACACACACACACACACACACACACACACACCTTGTTTATATATGAGGGAGACCCCCAAAAAAAACCCAGAATTAGTTTTTGGAGGACAAGCCTTTATAGTACAGACGTCCCCTGCTAGGTAAATGTTCTAGGAACCCATCAGCATCAGTGCAATGGATAGCATTGTTGTGAGAGGCTGCGTTCAGCTTCACTGAATTTATTTTGGAGGTGCTTTAAATTTGTTTGCCCTTGTCGTGATGGGTGATGTATGGACATACCTGCCTACACTGTGCTGAGTGTTCAGCAGTTTTTGACCAAAAACAGTGTGTGACTCCCCCATGCCCCACCCTCTCTATTCACCCATTCTCACCCCAAACAACTTTTTTTTTTCCCTGGATGAAAAAAGTCCTCAAAGGGAAACATTTTGCTGATGCGGAAGAGGTGAAACAAAAAACACCAGAAGCCATCAAAATTAACAAGTTCAAAAGCTGTTTTGAACAGTGAAAAAGTGTCTCAATAGGTGTATTTCATCAAATGGAGAGTACCTTGAAGGTCACTAAAGTTTAAACATGAAAGAATAAATATAAGCCGGGCTCGGTGGCTCAGCCTGTCATCCCGCGCTTTGGGAGGCTGAGGTGAATGGATTGCCTGAGCCTGCGGGTTCAAGACCCGCCTGGGCGACTTGGTGAGACTTCATCTCCACAATAAATAAAAAATTAGCCGGGCGTGGTAGCGCGCGCCTGTAGTTCCAGCTACTTGGAAGGCTGAGGCGGAAGGATCGCCGGAGCCCAGCAGGTCGAGGCTGCGGTGGCCGGGAGCGGCCACTGCACTCCAGTCTGGGTGACGGAGTGAGACTCCAACTCAAAAGAAAAAAAAAAAAAAGAATAAATATACAATTTTTTATAAATGAATTCCAGTCTTTTTGGTTCCTTTCTTATATGTACATACACCATGTTTATACATATGTGGGCTTATACATACACACACCATGTTTATTTACATATATATGTATACATATACCATGCTTATATACCATGTGTATGTATAGATATGTCCACCATGCTTTTGTATACATATACACCAGGCTTTTATTTAATATATATAAAATAGCCATGGTATATATATTTAATATATATACCATGTTTAGGTATACATACCATGTTTACGTAGACATTTGTCCACCATGCTTTTTTCTGGTTTTCACTTCATGTGTGTTCCTCCGTTAGAAGTCACCATTGGAAGGGCATGGTGACAATGTGACTTGTATCAGTCATGCAGTCATGTGGGTTTTTTGTCCTCTTGGCAAGTGAGCGTCGGTGTCCAGGTTTCCAAGACTGTAGTGACTGCAGTCGCCCCACGTGCATCCCTCTTGGCCCCATCTCTGCTGAGGTCCTTGGGTAATTGCCAGGAGCTGGACAGGGCTCTGTATCTCAGCAGCAGCCGTGGCGAATGGCCTCAGACTGGGTGGCGTGAGACAGCAGGCATGTCCTCCCTCACAGTGCAGTAGGCCGGAACCTGAGGTCATGGTGCTGACGGGACTTGCTCCTTCCAGAGGCCCTAGGGGAGAACCCACCTGTATCTCCCCTAAGTCCCCTGGCTTCTGGCACACCTGGCACCCCTTGGCATCCCTTGGCCTGTGTCCGCATGACTCCAGTGTCCCTTGTCCTCACACAGCCTTCTCCCGGGGTCCCTTGTTCTCCATCTTAAGGAGACGCTGGTTATTAGATTAGAGCCCAACCTGATGACATCCTCTTAAGTCAGTCATGTCCACAGAAATCCTGTTCCAGAAAAGGTCATGTTCATGGGCCTATGGGATAGAACTGAGGACATGATTCTATCCTCATGTGAGGTGGTGGAGGCTGTGGGGCTCCCACAGGGTTCTCAGATGTGCTCCTCACGTACAGGTGGCCTTGTGGTGTGTGGCAGAGAGGGGCGTTGTCTTAGCACAGGTGGCATATGCCATGCAGTTGCAGATGTTCCTGTTGAGGATGCTGGGAATGGGAACAGGAAGAACAAATTTTTGTCACTGCTTATGGTCTAGCTAGGAGACCCCAGGCGACAGTGTCTCACCGGCCCAGCATGGCCTTTGTTGCTTTTGCCTTGATTCCTGTGGAGGATGCCAGAGTGGCTTTATAGGCCATCCAGTGACCACCTAGATGGTGGGCTTGCCTGTCCCTCAGTCTCAGGCCAGGGGACAAGGAAGGTGCCAGTGCACGAGGGTCTTCCTCACTCACCCTCCTGGCCCATGAGTACTCCACTATCCCAGCATGCACACCACAGCAAAGCAAGGAAACCCCTTCCCCACTGACCTGCTTGCCCATTATCCTGGGCACCCTTGGTATCCACCGCATATGCCCCTTTTCCCACTAGATGCCCTGCAGACTGAGCTGATGACCACTTACTGCCTCCTGGGAGAACTTGGCATTGACAACCCAAAGGAGAGTGTGCAGGTGCTGGACTTGCTGAACGAGCTCCAGGATGTGACCACGAGGAAGGACCAGGAACTGCACAGGTATCTAGGAAAGCATTGGAGAAGGCAGTGCCGGTGGGCAGGGTGCGGCCAACTGGCGGGGCGCAGAGGGTCTTCTGTTCCCTGAGAGAGGTCTTCCCTGGCATGCGCGACATGGAGCGGCCAGCAGGTGGCACTGTTGTGCGCATGGTGGAAGACACCTGGGACCCTCTAGGCCACAGGTGTTCTGAGCTAGCAGGGTGCCAGGTACAGCAGGGCCCAGAAGTGCTCTAGGATGGACTCCAGATTCACTGAGTGCAGGAGGTGAGCGGGAACTCATGCCTGACCCCGAGAGATCCAGAAGAGGGAAGGCTTCACCTTGTCATATCCTCAGAGGAACCAGCAGCCCGGGCCCCATGGATCAGCCCTGTGTGTGTTCTACTATCTTGTACTGTATCGGAATTTTGTAGAGACGGGGTCTTTCCATGTTTCCTGGGCTGGTCTCAAATTCCTGACCTCAAGTGATCATCCCACGTCAGCCTCTTGAAGCTCTGGAATCAGGCGTGAGCCACCATGCTCGGTCCCTGTTCACATTTGAATGTCTTCCAGGGTAGGGCCTTGGGAGGAGGTTTTCGAACTTGTTGAAGGGTAAGCACACGTAGAAAAAACACAGATCCCAGCCGGGCTCGGTGGCTCAGCCTGTAATCCCACGCCTTTGGGAGGTGAGGTGAGTGGATTGCCTGAGCCCGCGGGTTCGAGACCCGCCTGGGCAGCGAGACCTCATCTCTACAATAAATCAAAAATCAGCCAGGCGTGGTAGGGCACGCCTGTAATTCCGTCTACTCGGAAGGCTGAAGCGAAAGGATCGCCGGAGCCCAGCAAGTCGAGGCTGCGGTGGCCGGGAGCGGCCACTGCACTCCAGTCTGGGCGACAGAGTGAGGCTCCAACTCAAAAAAGAAAGAAAGAAAAGACACAGATCCTGAGGGGCCACTCAGTGAGCTTCACAGGGCATGTGCCTTGTGGGACCAGCCGCCAGTTCTGACAGTTCATGACCAGCTCCCAAAGACGCTCAGGACCCCTGTCCTTCTACTTCCACCAGGAAGTTTCTAACTGGGCTTTTCCCCATGTCTTCCATAAGAGTCTCGTGTTCTCTTCCTTATGCTGCTGAGTCTACTTCCGGAGGATCCCAAAATATTTGGAAAGGACTCTCAAGAAGCCACTGTGGGTGGCTGTGGGATGAAATCAGAGCACAGGAAGGTTTTTGAACAGCAGAGGTCATGGGGGTGAATGGTTCAGTGCTCTGGTGCAGCATAGACTTTCCCATTGTCATGTAGGTGGCATGAGGGCAGGAACTTCACCCCACTCACAGCTCAGCTGCCCACTCCTAGGACAGGGCGTGGCTGTGTTAATCCATCTTCTGTTGCTTGTAACAATACCTGAAACTGGGTAACTTACAAAGAAAAGGAAGTTATTTACTTCAGTTCTGCGGCTGTAAGTCCAAGATCAGGGGTCCAAATCTAGGGAGGCCTTTCAGCCATTGGGTCCTCTGCATAGTCCTGGCATGGCGTGGGTCGTCATGTGGTGAGGAGCTGGGCTGCCCACTCAGGTCTCTTCCTCCTACACGGCTTCCCGTCCCATCCATGGTAGCCACTAACCTATGCAACCGCAAATGGCAGAGCCCCCGGCCCAATCTCCTCTTAAGGCCTGGCTCCCTGTCCTGCTACATTGGGGACTGAGTATCAACGTGTGTGGGAGGGTCAGATGTCCACACCGTGGCCCCAGCACATGTGGGGGCCCCTGTGCCTTTCCTGAAAACAAGGCTCTGCTGGGGCCTGTTCCAGGATTTCCTGACAGGGCTTTCTCACACAAAGCCGAGGGCTTTCCCACAGTGCCTAGTGCGATGGGTCAGCCCACTCCCCGCCGCAGCCCCTCACTTGCCACAAGAGGCCATGGGCAACCTTGGGCCAGAAGCCTTCAGGGCTCTCTCTCCACAGGAGCTTCGCCCAGGTGCTGGAACTCTCGGACACGGTCAGCAAAGAGGCAGCCCTAGCCAACCAGGAAGCCTGGGAGGAGGCACAGGGCATGGCAGCCTCCAGCTGGTGGTATTTCGGCCAGGACAGTGCCTCCAGGAAGTCTCCAGGCACTGAAAAGCACACCATCTGAGGATGCCGCTCCTGTCTGAGGACACTGCCCCCGTCTGAGGACACCCAGTCTGCGCACACTGCAACGTGCCCTGGGCACCCGTACCCTGGGCACCATGCCTAAGCCCCTCAGGCGGCAAGAGGAGAGCCCATCCCAGGCCTCTCGCTCGTTTGCCGTAGCTGTAGGTGACAGGACACCAAACACTTCGCTTCAGCTCCATGGTGACTTGTGTGTGGTCATCTTGTTTTATACCTAAAAGTAAACCTGTTGTGCAGACAAAGCCTCCACCTCCCTTTCCCCTGCCCTACACACACATACAGGGACCCTCAGGCGTCCTGTGTTGTTCCTGGTTCCTCTGGATGGCTGGCCTGGGCCTCAGGACCCCAGACTTGACCAACACCCACTTCAGGATTGTTGCGTGTCTGTTGGCCATGGGTGGTTTATGATGGTCCAGTAGCAAGCTAGGCTTCAGTCCTCAAGGGGACATTTTTCAGTCCCAGGTCTCCGTAGCTGTTGCTGGGCTGTGGCCCAGAGAACTCCCCACCGCCCTGTCTCCATCCTGCGTCCCAGGGGCCGGGCAACCTCGCTGGTGCCATCTCGTATTTCCAATGAACATTGCTTGACGGGTGGGTGATTGTGCCTCTGTTGGATGCCACCAGCTAGGGAACAGTCCCCATCAGACAGTTTGCATCCCCATCCTACATTCAGATATGTGACGTGCAACCATTCTTCCTAAGCCTGTTGGGGCATACCAGCTTGGGTCCAAACTCACCTGAATGCTGCCAGCACTGATGTTCCCAATTCAACCCCCACAGAGATGCCATCAGCAGCCTCTGGTTTTCGATAGTGGATGGGGACTGCCCTCTGTCCATCACAGTGTCCACTCCCATGAGGCGTGCAGGGAAAGAAGACACTTCCTCTTCCCATAGAGCGCGTATAAACCCAACCTACAGTTCAGTCCCACAAACATCATCAAGTAGGTGGCTTATACACAAGAGCAGTGGACTTCTCACAGGTCTGGAGCCTGGGCGTCAAATTCAAGGTGTGGCGGACAGCTTGTGAGGACTGCTTCTTGACCTTTTTTTTTTGAGTTGGAGTCTCATGCTGTCACCCAGACACCTGCTGGGCTCCGGCGATCCTTCCGCCTCAGCCTTCCAAGTAGCTGGAACTACAGGCATGCGCTACCACATCCGGCTGATTTTTGATTTATTGTAGAGATGAGGTCTCACCAAGTTGCCCAGACGGGTCTCGAAGCTTCTTGGCTTTTAGGGCATCTTCCCTCTGAGTCCTCTTGTGAGCGGGTCAGAGGAGCTCCCTCCAGCTTCTGTGAGGAGAACACTGACCCCAATGTGGGACCTGGGGTCTCTTGCTGGGACTCCTTGGGCCTGGGGGCTGTGCTGGGGCTCCTTGGACCTGAGGGCTTGTGCTGGGGCAGCAGGGATGCTTTCTTCATTTTGCCCGGAAGGCTAGGGGAGGAGGGGCTGGGAGGTGGTCTGCCTGCCAGTGACTCTGGTGTGGGCTGCGTGGGCTTGGACCCTAGCAGGTTAGCCACGCCTGTGGGGGTGGTAGGGAATGATCAGTGGGGGCACACAGGCAGGAGGCCGCCTGGCTTGGTGGACGCTTGCCCTGAGACCCAGGTCTTATTCCTTCACCTTGAGATCTTCCCCCTTTCCCTTGCACTCCCAGGCCACATATCCAGGTGGTCTTTGGTACCCGTTTGTCCATCCCTCATTGACCCGTGGTCCCTTCAGTGCTGGCAAACTGTGCGTGTTCCCACATGAATGCCCAGTCACCTGCCTGCTTCTCAGACTTTCTGTCTAAGGCCCATCCCAAGAAGTTACCGGCCACGCTGTTTTGGAAATGCGTGCGCGCGTGTGGGCAGGTGTGGCTTGCCTCTCTCCCTTGCAGGACCCAGGTGCGAGTCATGTCTGTGTCCCCGTGGCAGTTACGGGTCTTGGCTGCAGGCCGCGAACAGGTAGGGATTGGCGGGGCTGTCTTGACTGATCTCTTGTGCGTGGGTGGAAGTCGGAAGCTGGGTAGGCTGGCCCGTGGATATAGGACAGGGACTGAGGGAACAGGTCAGTGGACGGCTTGGAGGGTGGTGGAAGGCTTGGGCAGAGGCGCGAGTGGGCCGGTGAGGTTGATGAACAAAGGGCGGGACAGGTCGGAGAGGGGCAGGCGTGGATGTGCGGGCGGGTGGGGGATAGACGGGCACGTGTAGCTGGGGGGGGGGATGCCTGAGTGGGTGGGGGGATGGGTGGGGGGCTGTGCGGGCGGGTCATGGACTTGGTGTGCGGGTGGGTGGGGGATAGATGGGCACGTGTAGCTGGGTGGGTGGGGGGATGGGTG